AATACTTCCCCATTTATGAAGCTGATGCCTAGGTAAAGCTGAAAGATCGAATAAGTGATGCTTTGATGAAGCAGAGAGACCTCAGCTTTACCTAAGCATGAGCTTGATAAACAGCTTCATAAATAGGCCTGTTAACCTCCTTTATCCTCTCCCCAGCCCCTACCCCCTGATCTATATCCGAGCACCTACCAGTCAACACCCTCTCCACATCCGCATGCAACTCCTCCCCCCATCACCCCCCAAAGTGCGCGATTTGATAGGCGAGCGTCGGGTACCCCCACTCAGCATACGTGGCAAAGTACCAGGTGACATCGACGAGACTCGCCGCAAAATAACGTCAGCAGAGACGAAGAGTAACAGCCAAGCCGATTTTTAGTAATTGCCTTTGTATATTATAGACGCAACATAGATGCATTATACGAGATGGGCCACTCCTTCAAATATTTGCTGACCTGGACATACATAGAAGCTATATTTGTTAACAGTTGATTTGTACGTCATGCTAACAAAATAGTACCATTATCGCTTCCATATATGCGCTGTGTACTGTACAGAAGCAACATAGGTACCTTACACAAGAGAAATCTCTATAACTGACGTTTACTTCCTTCAGCGCGTATATAGCGGGTATATCATATACGTCCTATTGCATCATCTGTATAAAATGCAGATAACCTGACGACAAAATCACAACTATGTACATACATGTGTACATTACATATAAGCAAAATAGCTGCAGTACTTGTATGCTGAAGTATCTATGTAAGTGAAATTCTAGACTGTATTAACACGCAAGCAGCTCGTACAACTCCTACACCTGTTTTATTCTTCCAAAATTCTACACACGCAAAGACCGAACCAATCCCATCCATCCAGTCTATTTCTTCTTCTTGCTCGGCTGATATCCTACACTTTTGTCCTTTTTTACTTTTTTTTTTAGTATTAAAAACCCCTTTATGTTCGTAAAGAGCCATCATAAACCCACCTGCCACTGTACCGACTGCCGGTGCGAAATGCATTTATTTGCATTATTTTCTACAGAATTAGTGATGCTAGCATGGGAACTTATAAAATACTTGTTGATAAACAAATAGACGCATACATCAAACTCAGAAATGTGATCTTTGTTTTATTTTCACGATTGTAATATAAAAAATGAATAAAAGATAAGCACTCCAGCTGCTTTTGCTGAGGAGTTACGTCAAATTTCACGAATTCGGACGTGAGGGGGCACCAATGTTATTCTTACATGTGCTTACTGGAAAATGTTCTGGGGCCACGCTAGAAAATTTCAGCACCCTAGCTACTGTGGTTGCAGAGTTAAATTAACTTTTAAGTGTTGGTGCGTGAGGGGAAATGTGGATGTTATTATTAAGTGTGCCTGTCCAAGTCAGTTGTCGGGCCATTTCAGAAAATTTCAGAATTCCACACGCTTTGGTTGTGGAGTTACGTGAAATTTCATGTGTCCGAACGTGATATGTAAAGAGATGTGAAAGCTAAATTTACTTTCACAAGCACACTAGCGGATGGCAAACAAAGTCACAAAACTGAAGTTAATAATTATACACAAACTGGCATGATGCCGATTCAAATTTGAATTGTCTGTACGTAAGAATCAGGGGAAGTAAACGCTAATTTTACGCCCAAGTGTAGAAGTCGCCAAAGTTTTAGCTTTATAGCTTTCATAAGTTTCGAGATCGAAAAACAAAGACAGACATTACACACACACACACACACACAATGACATACATAGACTGCCCTACACGATATGCGCTTTTGCATTGCACCGATGCAAAAACCTTAAAAATGTATGTCCCCGACCTACTGCGTTCAAACTGAAGATTCCATTCATAAAATCTTTTATATTTTTTGCTATGCTCACGAAATTCAGCTGAAATGGATACTTTGACTTGCAGGCGAGGGGCGTTTCAGTGATAAGATGAGATCAGAAATAACAGCAATAAAAATTCACGGCCGGTAATTTTTTTCCTTCTAATTCTTGTCTCCCATATCAAAACTCTTCTTCGTTTTCCCTTTCCTCTGTCGAGTCGGAACTTTTGGTGCTTCCAGTTTGTAACCATGCATTTCACACCAGCCAATCGGGAAAATGTTTGCTGATCTTAAATTAACACATATGCAGA